TGGGGGGAGCCTTGCGAGGGTCCTGGAAGGCTCCCTCGGACCCTTGCGAGGCTCCCCCCCACCGGGCCAGTGGGGGCAAAATCGCCAGCTTCTCTCCATAAGACGCACAGACTTCCCCCCATATTTTGGCGAGCAAAAAATACAGTATATGTACACGCACGCACACACACATACAGAGTCAGTCATAATGATATCCTGAAACTATGATCGTAAAGGTTTCAAAATTTTAATGATAATTGTGTGTTGTCAAGTTAATTCCAATTTATGATTTACCCTTTCCATGGTTTTCTAGTTAGAGAATACTCAGAAGTGGTTTGCCATTTTCTGTCTTTAGGGGACACCCTGAGGCTTTGCAGCTTCCCAAGGCTACACAGGCTGGCTGTTTTCCCAGGAGGCACAGTGGGGAATCAAACTCCCAACCTGGGGCTCTGCCGCCAGATGACTAAACCATTGAGTTATCCAGCCAACTGACAAAGTGTTACAGTACCCTAAAATGTATCTGAATTGTTACATTGTTTTCTTGTGTGAGGATTACTAGCTATCTTTATCAAATAGGTTCAATGAGGAAATACCAGTTTGTCCTATATCCCAGTGGTCCCCAATCTTTTTAAACTCCCAACCTGGGGCTCTGCCGCCAGATGACTAAACCATTGAGTTATCCAGCCAACTGACAAAGTGTTACAGTACCCTAAAATGTATCTGAATTGTTACATTGTTTTCTTGTGTGAGGATTACTAGCTATCTTTATCAAATAGGTTCAATGAGGAAATACCAGTTTGTCCTATATCCCAGTGGTCCCCAACCTTTTTCCAACTGCGGACTGGTTAGGGGTGTGTGGCACACTCGCGGGGGTGTGGTGCGGCTACAGGGGGTGGAGTGTGCTTGCACGCATGCATGTGGGGGGCTGCTCATGTGCATTCATACGATGCGCCCACGGCCGAAGTGCGTATGCACGCAGTAGCATTTGCAGGGGGTGGAGCGTACATGCATGCAGTGGCGCTCACGGGGGGCAGCAGATCTGTGTGGACCAGGGGTTGGGGACCCCTATGTCCCCCACACTCCCTGCCCCCCAGCCTCCAATTCTGCAGCCTGCAAGTCTCTTAAAATGTCTAAAATCTCCAGGATCAGGTGGCTTGCCTGTACCAGACCCAGCCTGAGGATATCTGTGTAAAATGCAGACAATAATAAGGGGAGTAGGTGTTGCAAACCACCACCACCCCCGTGTTTCCCACATTGACAGGCACAAGGGTTGGAGAAATCAGGCATTATCCTTAAACCTTCTCTCCCCCCTCCTCCAAAATTAGGACTTTTGTGCTTGACTGTGTGTCCCTTAATTGTGTTGACTGGAATTTAGTGTGCATGCCCATTTAATTTAAGAAAAACCAGTGTTGAAATATATCCAAAGAAAATCCTTGTTTAAAAGCTGGCTCTGCAACATTCAAAGAAGATAGTAATTTCCTTACCATAATTCCTATATGAGAATTAATGTTGCTACAGATGTCATCTGAAATGTGTTAACTTCTCATGTTGTCCAGTATTGGGCACAGTCCATTTGTTGCATAGAGTTTATGTTACAATGTAGTGTCAGTTTGCTCAAACTGAAAGGAAAAGTCATTTATTTGAGAGGAGAGAATCCTCTGTGACTTCACCTTCATGTAATGTTGCTTAGAAATAAATTGGCATCTATTCCATCAATTAGTAGTTTACTTCAGAATATGTCAGCCCTTTTGTACCATTTATGTCAATGATAACATAATTTTCTCAGTGTTTTATATATAAAGATCTTGACACACCCATTGTCAGTCAATATCTAAGCTAAAATGAGAATTCTTTTTCTCTAATGAAGAAATCAAGGCATAGGAAATTAGTGACATGGTGAAGCATTGTAGGAACTATCTTACAGAGAAAAAAGTTAAATTTTATCACATGTGAATAGTCTAACTTGCACCAAAGTAGTGATGAGCAAACATCACTACTTTGGTGGAAATCTCAACATTAGTCTGATTATCTGTACTCAAAATGTTATCCTACTTGTGTGCAAATTTGCTGCAGGTATTTCTAAAAACATGCTCTTTTTCCTTTTTTAAAAAACAGATAGGTCAGCTTCCTGTTGCTTTATCACAAAAGGGTAGCCACATAAACATTGCTCCTGCTCTAGTGTACCTGGTCTTATACTGCTTGTGAGACTGGTTACACTGCAGGAGGCATGCAGGAGCAGGGGAAACGCTTACACAATTGCCCTTAGTCTCCAGATAAGATACTGACTGTTTACTGAAATAGACAAGGGCAAGATTCAGGCAGGGGTGGACAATGGTGTGACATCTTGATGGAATGTGTGTGGTTGTCAGTTCTAGGTACATCTACCTGTCCTGCCACTAATCAATAAACTATTCAGTTGTAGGTGAGATTTTCTTGAATAAAAATGTAGCAGTGTAAACTGTGAGTCTAAATTTTGACCCATCTTCAAGGAACTGAAACTAGAAGTGTTCATGGAAAACAATGTTCCCACTGTTAAGAAGATTCTTCCTCTTCTCTCCCCAACTTTCAGGAAATGGTTGATTCCTTAGCCAGTGTTATAAACAACAAATATGGAAGGAAAGTCCTGTTGTATCTGTTAAGTCCAAGGGATCTTACATACTTCTCGCCAGCACTGATAAAAATCCTGCAGCAGGGTGATGGGAATGCTTACAGGTGAGTAGAAAATGCTATTTTGTTTTAACCAGCTGCCTTATGACCTCCCTAAATGTAGCCTGAATTTATGCCACCCACAGTTGGGTCTTTGCTGTAAGTCCTTTTGGGGTGAATGAGATTTCTTCTTAAATTGCATAAGAGGCGTGCTCCGCAATCTGACATTTGAGATGTGACATGCTTCATTTTTATGGGAGTTGCCTTGGAAATCTAAGAATGCAGATTTTTCTTTCACTTTAATGGAATTTGTGCTTTGTGTATGTATGTTTGCATCACTTCTGTTTCTAGGGAGTGATTGTTGTTGCTCTATAAACCTCCTCTAGAAGTCCAGAAAATATTTCTGTCTTGACAGTGGCAGATGGCTTCATTTTTAACTTTTCTACATATTTTATTGTGCCATTTATGTTTCACAGAGGCAGGCTCTTCAGTTAAGTCTCTTATATGAAAAATGGCAAACCAGTCTTATTCCAGGCACACTGGGATGGCTTCTTGAAAGAAGTTCATTGTGCTGAGTGACATGTCAGATCCTTGCTTGTCAGATCCAGAAGCAGCAGTGATTCTTGGGACTCTTTGAGGTGTTAGTCTTTAACAGTGTTTTCCAGTTTAAGAGACAAATATTTCAGTGGGAGAGAGTACTAGCAGAACAGGTTTTTCTTCTGGGTATTTCTGTTAATAAACATGTAGGCTGGAGAATAACACTGTAAAGTAACCATTGTGAACACATGTTAACAGTGCTTCCGTCGGAGGGGGCTGCTCAAGGTCTTTCCCTGGGCCTGAGGCCCCTTGCAGGCCAGGGTTGGGTGGAGGCTGGCAGGCCAACCATCCTATTCCTCCTCTCCTCACCATCATCACTGCCTCGTCCCCCTCCTCCCTCCCTTTCAGATGTCTTTCTCCCCTGCCCACCCCAGGAGCAGGCCACTGGTGCTGCTGGAAGGGCTCTGAGTGTAGAGAAGCCCAAGGCTGCTTGAATCCCCTCTTTGAGAGAAAGGCAGCCTAAAAATACTAAATACAGTAAAAAATTTAAATTTAAATGTGGTATTGTGATTGCAGGTTCTTTGCAAAATCGTATTGTTCATTTTCCATGTCCATGTTCCCAGTCCACACTAGGAAGAATCTTCACCGGCTTCTTTCTCTAGCTTAGGGTTGAAGTCTCCCATTATGACATTTTAAATGTTGTGTTTTCATATGCTAATGTTTTCATACTTCACTTCATCCACAGTGGAACATATTATTGTACCGTGCTGATGTTTTGTGGATTTCCCCTTAGTAAGATAAGCATAACCTGGTGCGATTATGGAAAAAACATAGGAGTCAAGTCATCACAAACATATAAAACTGCCATCACTAAAGTGTGTCAAATTATTTCATGCCTAATGTGAAGTACATACCTCCTCCCAAATCTGTAAATGGGATAAGAGCAGGTCCTGCTATGTCTGATTTTGCATGTATATTTTAAGGATTGCATACAACCCTCTCCTTTGTCAAGAATGCTGAAGGGGTGATCACTGATGTCTCCATAAAACTCTGACTATGCCTGAGAAGGAAGAATGGGAAGGCTGCTATTGGGCAGCAGAAGTGACAGAGTTAATTTGTATGACACAGTTTTTTTGTAGTATGACTGCTACTGTTTGTACTTCCTTTATTCCACCAGTAAAAAAGACACAGATCTTCGCCGCCGTGAACTTCTGGAAGCTGTTTCTCCAGCTTTACTGAATTACCTGAATCTCCATGCTGAAGAAATGGTGATGGATAAAGCTACATTCATTGTATTGACTGGAATTCTCAGACATGCTATTGGTGATGTCCAGCCTGCTATGAAAGCCATTGCTAGTCTTGCTTCAAAAGAGATGGTTCCAGGGGGCCAAGATGGGCAGGTAACGATGCTTGAGCAAGAAAAAGCAGCAGAATATGGACTGATCTTTGAATAGGCAGGGTGTGGGTAGAGTCCTGTAATTTAGTGGTTGAAACACAGTAAATTAAGAGAGGACTCGGGTCTTCTAGTTTATCTTGATTCACCAGCCAAACCATAGGAATGTGTTTATGATATTTTCAGAGAAAATGTTTAATCTTTTCCACCTAAAAGAGTCAGATCTAGCTCATAGCTTCAGTTTGAAATCCAATAATTCTGTGAAACTGAGGAAATGAGCAGCAGGGCATGATGTTTTTAAAAAATGGTCAAAAGGATAGCGTACAGCTTTGTAATGAGACGTAGCAAGAAACCACTTTGAAAGAGTTCCTGGCCTTTAGTATTAGGAACAGAATTTCTTGCAAACTTTTCCACTGGTTGGAAATAGTCCTTTCTTGCAGGGGCAGCTCACATTACAGGGTAGCTTGGACCATGGGTAGGCTGTGGTTTCGTAGATGAGTGATTGGATATATATGATTGGATAATCCTGTATATAACAAATGTTGAATGGACGATTTGTTTCCGAATTTCAGCATATAAATGATACCTGTCCTGCATTTCACAACCTCTAAGAACTCCAAAAATATGCTGGTATATTAAAAACATTTTTGGAATGAGAGAAGTAGATACTAGGATCTGGGAATGTGTGTACAATTTGTATTCCAGTCTCCAAATATTGTATTGACAGACCAGCATAGAACACTGCCATAAACATTTTGTAAAATATTATGGCTAAGCTTTCTCAAAAAGTGCAGAGGCTTGAAAGACAGAAGCAGCTAGGGAATGAAAGATCAATAGATTTGAATATAAAGGATAGCATTATGTGATTGAATTGCCATAAATTAATATGGGAAAGAAGACCTAGATGTCTCAATGTTCTCAACACTCCACTGTTTAATGCACCACTTTTTATATGGGTGAAGAAACAAATTATATTTATACAATAAGCATTGGCTTCAGTCTAGCTCTTGTAGAGTTTTAAAAGGACTTTTTGAATGGACAGTGAACACTCTGGGCTGATGCTTCTATTATTTTACAGCTTCACATTGCAGAACACCCAGCGGGTCATCTGGTTCTGAAATGGTTAATTGAGCAAGATGAGAAAAAGAGAGAATGTGGCAATGAAGGTACAGTATGTTAGTAAATTTGTACACTGTGTTCACACATCCCAGATCTACTAGTCATGAGTGCAGTGTATTACCGTCAACATTAGAGGAAATGTGCCTCTCTGTACCAGTTACTTGGAAACTGAAGAATCTTTTCTTGTGTCCTGCTTATGAAAATCTCAAAAGGTACCTATTTGTCCAATGGACAAGATAGCCTTTGGTCAATCCCAGCACAGCTCATCTAATGCTCTTTCATCTCTAAACACTTAAAGGACGTGATGGGGTGCAACTAGAATAAGGACATGGTTGCACCAGTTGTTGATTACAAACTAGTCGGTATTTGAATCACCTACAATGGACACATTGCCCCACCAAGAAAAAAATTATTTAAGAGTTTATATAGCCTTCCTCCCAATCTCCGGTGTAGTAAACAGTCAAAACATCATGATAAATTCTTTTATCCTACATGTTATATTATTTTGGGGTAAGCCACTTATGATCTGATACCTTCCCTCCCCTTCTTATTTTTAATGTATAGTATAGTTTGTGGTACATCAAGTATACTATGGAAGAAAATCATAATGGCATAACTGTGGCTGCAGAAAGATGATGACATCACCAGCAGGGGGAGATTTTGAGTAATTAAAGTCCTCTGAAGATGCCAGCCACATAGACTGGCGAAACGGCAGGAAGAACAACCTTCAGAGTATGGCCAAAGAGCCCGAAAAACCCACAACAACCATTAGATCCCGGCCGTGAAAGCTTTCACAAATACATTAATTAAAGACTTCTTCCTTTTCTCACACAGCTTATCTAACTTTAAAACAACCATTTCATTATATGGAAGACATGGGACCTGCAGGTTGGAAGGAGGAAGTCTTTAATCTATTTCTGCAGATATAGTAATCCGGCAGCAGTGAATTTTGGTAATTAAAGGCTTTCTCCTTCTGTTCTATGGTTTCTGTAGTTTCCATGTGATGAAACAAGTTGGACAAGACACAGGAAAAAAGAGGAAAGTCTTTAATTATATAAAAAATGTCTCTGCTGGTGACATCATCACCCTTCTCCAGCCATAGCTATGCCAACAGGATTTTAGTCCGTGTTTTGTGAAAGAGAATGGCTGGGAAGGAAGTTGTTGACAAGGAGAATCAAAAGGTTTATATAAAATGAAACCTGTGTAGTTGCAGGATTCTACTAATACATTCCAAGGAATAGACTTTTGATACTCTTTGTAACAAATTAGTTCAGATATAGGTGTGTTGTGCAGGGACTGTTGTCCACAAAAGTTCACAGTTCGTCCTTAGAGTGCCACAATGTTTTGTCTTCTTTATTTTTTATTTATTTTTTGCTTGATAGAGTATAATCTGAATCTCTCATGTAGCTGAATTGATTTTTGTATGGGAGATTCGTATTTGGGTTACATGGTGGTTGTTCTGATTTTATTGCTGATTTGCCCTCTCCATTGCTACGGCTCACACCTTTCCAAGTCTTTATCAGCCCTGTGAGCCTTCATGTCCAACAGAGTTAAACCTCTGGAGAAAGTAGTCCTGCCTTGGTGACCAGCAAGCCAATAACTGCAAGTTTTGAGTGCTTCATCAATTTCTTATAATATGTTTAAAAGCTAAGAAATGAATTTTACTTTATTTATTTTTGCCTATAAGAACTGTGGTATTTTAAAGATTTATTCTCTGCTTTTCAATGTTTTTTTGGGGGGGCGATATAAGAAATTTTATTTTAAGATTTTTTAAAAATATATATTTTCATTGTACCTTTTATGCTTCTGTATTTTGGATTGAATTCTGATTTAAGTATTTGCCTGCAACTTAAATTTAGTTTTCTATGGCTATAAGACTTTCAGATGTTTCCAACAACTTTAAAGTATTTTTGTACAAATAAATCAAAGGAGCAATGGAAGTCAATAAAAGATTGTAAAATTAGATAAACTGGTGTTGCCTGGAATCCTTGCAACAATGAAAAAAGGTATATCTTGATACTCAGGTGAATTTTGATTTCATTCTGGAATTAACCCTTTCCAGGGATAAATGCCAGCTATGACAAACACAGGCTTCTGATTTTTCCATAGAGGTCTGTAGGGGTTATAGGAGAATGTTCAGGCATTGGACTCTGGTTCCTCATGATGTAGTGCAAATCCCTTATGAAATGAGGTGTTATTTAAAAGTTGATTGTGGTATATCCATGGGAAGCAAGGGTTAGTGGAAGCGGCATTCAAAGAATTCTGTTATGGTTTGAATTTTTGTATGTGTGTACAGATGCATTGAGTAGTTACATTACTTTTACACTGGCTGCAGATTTACAACCTGTGAGTATTAAACACATTGAGAGAGGTTTTAATAGATTCACGTGAAGTCTAAGCTGATTTTTTTCCCCTTACCAGGATGTTTTGCAAGAACGTTGGTAGAACATGTTGGCATTGACTTCTTGAAGAACTGGGCAGATGTGAACCGTGGGGCTATTATTTTGTGTCGGTATGTAGAACATCAGTGCCTTTAAGGTCTTGAGCATGCCATTGATGGCATTTAAATAGTACAGCTGTAGCTTAATTGACATTTCCTTCTATATCATCTTCCAGTTATTTATGTTGTATCATTGCAAGCAGCTGTCACCAGTAGCCATGTTGCTTTACTTGTTAAATATTACTGTGTTGCATTCAAAGCAAATTCTATCACTTATTTTCAGCTAAACTGACAGAATATGTTCCAGGGAACCTATGAATGCAGGGTACTAATTGCTTTTATGTGGAACCATGTAGAAGCAGAACTAGCACTGCCTACTCTCCTCTGAGTGCAGTGTGTATCTGTGTCATGATATTTTCTGGTGGTATTGGAACTGATGCCATCTGAAAGCTTAGATGTCAGGACTTTCAAGAGCATCATCATGACTTTTGTTCTCTCCATAACATTGGTGATATAGCCATTATTGCCTGGGTTGTATACATTGTACGTAAGAGTGACAAAGTGATGAACTGTCCTGACACTGCAACAGTTATTTCATATTCCTGTGCACACAACTGTAACAAGTGGCTTACAAATAACAGTTCTGCTCTTTTGATAGTCTGTTTGACTGCAGTTAAACTAAAGTGTTTTCATTTTTCTTGTCTATGAAAGAGTCTATAGCATAATTGTTGATTTGCTGGAATAAAAGTGCATCCTGACCTATATTTCTTGTTAGTACTTGCTTTTGTAGATGATGAAAGTTATTCTCAGATTAAAACTGCTACAAATATTTCAGTTCCTTTTATAATACAGTGGTGCTTCGCATAGCGACGTTAATCCATTCCAGGATTAACGTCGCTATCCAGATTCGTTGCTACACGGGGGGGGGAACCCATAGGAATGCATTGAACTCCGTTTAATGTGTTCCTATTGGGGAAAAACACCGCTATGCGGGGAATCCTCCACCCGGCCGCCATTTTCGCCACCCGGTAAGCAAGAACAGGGCGCGAAAACACTGCGGGCGGCCATTTTGTTGACCCAGCGGCCATTTTGGAACCGCCGATCACCTGTTTGTAGAACATCGCAATGCGAAGATCGGTAAGCGAAATGCGATGTTTTCACTATCTAAAACATGGCAATGCGATCGCATTAGCGATCGCACAAAACGTATCGCTATGTGGATTCATTATTAATCGGTGTGCTCGTTAAGCGAGGCACCACTGTATTTATTTTGCAAAGTTTAGCTGATTTGCTGCTTAGGATGAGATGGCTATAACAACATGCACTGTTCAGCTAAAAGCACTGGATTCCTTCAGAGAATCATAGAAATGCAGGGATAAACAGGATTGCAATAATACCTTTTGTAGCCCAGCCCTTTCTAGCAAAGCAGATCCTTTAGTACCCGATCCCCACTCTCAGCCTGACCAGTGTTGTCCAAAGCAAAGACGTGCCTTCAGGAACACATTCAGTAAAAGCAAAGTGGGATGTCAGGGGGAAGCAGAGGCACTCTGGCCTGATGGATGAAATCTGTCTGAAACAGATTGACCTTGTTCCACATGTCACCACTTCCACTGTCGCCTCTCTGATGTTTTCAATTTCTAGTACTTGCGACACAGGACAAAATAACATCTCAAACTCTTTGCCTCACAGAAAACTGCAGGCTTAAATCAAACATCCTCTCATAGGTTTATCGTCCGAGTTTTAATGCTCAACCGCTGGCTTTCTAATACAGACTTTTAGAGATTGTTCATGTCATTTCGGGAACAGATCTTTTGCATTTGACAAAGATGCGTAGTTCCTTTTAAAATCTCTAATCCACCACACAGATGTTGAGTAAAGATTTGTGAAGAGCTGCTTTACCCAGTATAACAAAGTTTCCCTTTTTTTCCTCTTGGTGAACAGTAGTGTTGGATTTGATTTGATTTGATTTTGCTGCTTGGTTTCTAAGAACACTGAAATTTGGATTTTGGTGTTAACATGAATCTGGTTCTTTTTTTAAAAAAATCAGTTGCTAGCTTTCAAATACACTCCCCTCAGTGTTTCTAAGGTAAATTAACAATGCTGTCACATATGATTTGCCAGTTTTCTATGTTTAACAAATCTGAAGAGCTTTCAGACTCGAACAGCTACTTTCCCTGACCCACCCTCTATTCTCTTTATTGTGCTTCCAGTGGCATTATATGGCAGTTGGGCTGTTTGGACAGACTTCAACATGGCCTAAGAAGTGAATTTTCTTATTTTCTTTTGTGAAAACTAATACAGTACAGAAATCTGTGAAAACAGAAGTGACAAAGAAGTTATTTTTCCCTACCACTTGATGCAAGTGTCACAAAAATGTAGGCAGTTTAGAACAACTTTGGCCAGTGTCCCCAAGGGGTGATAGTATTTGAAGCAGCATCTCTTGCATAATCTCTATGGAAAAATCTCTAGAGATACCCAGTGTAGTGTATTGGAAAGAGAAACAGACTAGGGCTGAGGAGGCCTGGGTTCAAATCCCCACTTGGCCATGGAAGCTGACTTGGGGCATGGAACTGGTAAAACCATTCCTTAAATATCTTACTTACCTTGAAAGCATTATTAGGGTCACTCTAAGTCAGTTCTGACTTGATGGCACATAACAATGATGACAACAACATTTCTTCACTTCAGGAGCAGAAACCGCTCATGCATCTCTTTTGGGGATGAGAGGCAAGTTCCCTCTCCTGAGATTATACCAGGATGCCTGACAGTGATTGATTGATTGATTGATTGATTGATTGATTGATTGATTGATTGATTGATTGATTTCTTTCTTTCTTTCTTTCTTTCTTTCTTTCTTTCTTTCTTTCTTTCTTTCTTTAATCCATGTTTCTTTTGTGATTTCTCTGTAACCCCAGACACTGCGCTAGCATTGTAATCTAGGGTGGGCAATGTGCAAGCCACAGGCCACATGTGGGCATTCTGTGAGCTAAGCTTCGCCCTCCCACCCTCAGAGCAAATCTGTGCCTCCCACCACATGTCCCCCCCCCAATTTTTTAGGAAAAGAAATTACTTTCAGCTCCCTCATCCTTCTTTCGGGGGCCTGGGGTATAATGTTTGTAGGTGTTTGACCTCTCATGAGCTATTTAAGGCCTGGGACAGCTAATTGTAAACTGCCCAGAGTGGCCTGGTAGCCAGATGGGCGGTACAAAAGCCAAATAAACAATAAATGAATACATTTCTGATTTTCTCATGTGTTGAAAAAGGCCTCCCCTGAGCATAAAACATCTTAAATTGATTTAAAAACTGGTGAAATTGCCCCCAGCATTGGCAGGACAGAATGAAGGGGCTTCACTTTGTTTTAAAACTGGGGTTGATGATAATCACAGCCCTCCGAACTTGTGTAGGCCACAGCTGTCAGGAGTTACTTGTCCCTGATATATATATGCTAGCTTTCAAATATCTATATCTAAAAAAAGAAACACCCTGGAGGGTCACATAACTGAGCTTAGTTGTAGGTAGGAGCCCCCCCTTCCACTCCCCAATATCTCTGTGTTTAAAAGAAAATACTGAAAAACAGCTGGGAGAGCCTGAGATTTTGAAAAGTTTAGAGTAATACTGATGGATGAATGCTCTGAGCCAATACAAATTGGTTCCATTTGTTAAATTAAAGCAGATATTAGCTGGGTAGGTAGATGCTGTGTAGGATTTATATAAAACAAAACCTTCAGTTGCATAACTTTATGCTAATGGCCATGAAATGTAGTTGGAACTGAAGGGAGTCTCCCCATTGACACCTTTAAATAATCTAAGATAGATCTGCAGAATGGGACAGTTGCTCTCAGCCTGATGCACCCCACAGACTGTTGCAGGGATCAAGTGGGAAGAAGGTCCACATCCACTGTGTTTAGTTCATTGGAGGAGGGCAGGGGATAAACATTTCAACAAACACGCAGCATAATCTTTATGTCCTTATTTGCACGCAGCATGAAAATAAATATAATGTGGACATTGTGCACTTGGAATAATGTATACAAATATTTATTTATTTATTTGAATAAGGTGTGTGTGTGTGTGTGTGTGTGTGTGTGTGTGTGTGTATTCAACGAGTGTTTGTGTGTGTAATATTGCATTGCAGTTGTACTTTTAATACTACAAGTGAGCAATTAGTGTTTTCAGATAAGGCAGAACTATTTTAGGTCACATTGAGAAAACAGATTTTTAATCACTCCACAAGCCACATTAATTCTTTCCCCATTCTGTTTGGTTTGGCAACATAATCCTTATTATATATCTAAAAAGAAGGCAAGGGAGGAGATGTGACTGTTCAATCAGAAGGTTATGCTAAAAATAACATTTCAGTTACAAGCTAAAAACGAATTTGCCAGTCCAATTGCTTACCAGGGGACACTGGTTCTTTGTTAAAAAAAAAGTCACTACCAGCTGCTAACACCTTAATATGGAAAAAGATCAACAGACTGGAACACTGCCTAGAACAGAATTTTTCTCTCTTGGATATTCAGTCCTATTATTAATGCCACAGTCAGTGCAAACACTTTTTCATCTGAAAACTAAGCTTCTCTAAATGAATGTAAAAGTTCTTGTTGTCTGTTCTGATATGTTTTTCCTTATCTTTTTTTGGTGATGGGGGTGGGTAGGGTAAGAGTTTCTTTACTGTCAATTGGCCAGCCTGTGGTACTTGCACTCAGGAAAATGAAGGTTGTTTTCCCTGCCAAGTATGCCAAGTACTTGAGAATGTAGCCAGGAAATGTCAATGTAAAGGAGTATTTAACCCTCTTGCAGTAGCATCTGGACAAAACGTGATATATTTTCTCAACACAGAGACAATGCCGACATGTTGCGGGTGTGCAGAATCAAGTCTGTTCCACCTAAACATCCATAGCCAGGAAATGCAACATGTGATGAAAGTAAAATGAGATAAAATATGCATATTTTGTAGACTGGATTTCTCCTGCTCCAGACAGATTCCCAGTGTTCTCCAATGGAAGACGTTTTTCTTGAATGGGGCCATCCTGCTGACAGCCAGAGTGTGTCATTTTTGTTTTGGTTAAAGGTCCCCCCGCCCCATGTTATGTTAGTGGGGAAAAATTGACAGATTTGTATCCAGCTTGCGGGGGGGGGGAGCATAATTAAATTGTAAACTGTCCAAACAATGCTTTAAGCCCTAGGGAGCGCTATATAAGCGGCACATTTTGCTTTAATGCGCTGCAGGGGTGAAGGTTCCCACCCCAACCATGCTGTCTCTCTCTCTCGTATCTCTTTGGAACATCCAACAACCTCTGGAGGAGGTCTTTTGAAGGCAGCCGAGACTGTAGCAGAGAACAGTTGGTTTTTCTCCTAGCTTTGTGAGCAGAAGTGCTTTCAGATCCCATCTTTGGATCAAGCCCTGGTCTGTTCCCGAGCCGGTGCAGGAATAAAAACTTCTAGAGCCGTGATGGTTGTTGTCTCCTAACACAATACCTGACCTAACACATTGTGAGACTGAGGTTGTTACAGGACTGCCTATTGCACATTAAACTTTTTTTTATGCCTTGAGGTAATTCTGCCACGCCCTCTCGTCCTAGGCAGCCTTTTTGAGGTAGGCAGCTCCACTTCTGTGGAGTTCTCTGTACTCAGCTTGGTTCAGAGCTGGTTATCAATTGAGCACCAGAAAAATGCCTTATTCCAGCATGCTTAAAACCCACCCACCCATCCACATTTTAAGCAGGGGTTCTGCTGCTGTCTGTAATTGCCAATTTATGGCTGACCTTTCATTATTTATATTGTGTTTTGTACTTATATCACAGAGTCTTATAATGCTTACGTGTAGTCATTTGTGCCTAGCCATAGCGCTGAGTCCTGGGTTGAAATAGGCCATAATCCTGACTTGTCACTAGAGCCTGGAGGAGTTTCTCATTTGGATTACAAGTCTGCAAATTCTCCAGCCAGCTGGCCAGTATTTTTGCCAGCTGTGGGATTCTAGGAGCTGCCAGCCAATAAAAGTAATTTTTCTCACCTCTGGCCTTGCAGAGGAGAGAACTTGAGTTTAGATTTGGGCAGCTGCTGGAGCTTGAAGTAAGTCTGGTGTTTGAAGCAGACTGTGACTCCTTCTGTTGAAGTGCATTTCTGCACCTTTCAGCTTTTCTTCTACAGCAAAAAGAACTAAAACCTTGAGACTGAGCTGTAGCCCAGCAGAAAAGGGACAGTAGCATCATGAAACAGTTCATTATGAAGATAGGACTGCAAAGACACTAGCAGTAGTCCGTCTCGTTTTAAAAACAAGGAACACTACTTAAATAAAAATGTGTTTACCGTTTTCTAGCGATTGCAATATAATGGTCATAAGCTCACTTTGCTTTTCATGCAGAAAATAAATCAAAGTATTTAGATGCAGATATTTAGCTAATTTAATGTAGAATAAACTCTTGGCAGATGAAGATTTCAAAATTGTCTTTTGTGCTGAACTGTCATCCTTGCATGTGCTCTGTATAGTTCCTTGTAGAGAGTGATAATACCAATTTGAGTCATGTCAAAGCAGATCGGCTCTCAGTTGTTTGCCTTTCCTTGTTGCTGGCATCATATTATCATTATTTTATTATTGAAATTGTCTTTTTCTTCCCCTTGTACAGCCTTCTTCAGTGCTCTGACCAAGACGTGGCAAATCAAGTCAAGGATGGACTGAAATGTCTTATTCCCAAACTAAAAAGGACTAAAGGTGACACAGCAGCAAGAAAGGCATTGCTGGAGAAATTATCATCTTAATTGCAAGAACTATTAAATGGACATGTTTTCTATATAAGCAATTTTTTTCTTTTAAAAGAAAGATATTGAGTTAGTTTTTTAAAAAAAACCATCAGGTAATTATGTTTAATTTGCTAATAAACACATTCAACTTCTTAGAAATGTTAGATTTTCTTTTAAAAGAAAGATATTGAGTTAGTTTTTTAAAAAAAACCATCAGGTAATTATGTTTAATTTGCTAATAAACACATTCAACTTCTTTGAAATGTTAATTTTTATTCTCTTTGGGTTATTCTTATTCTGGAGAGTAAAATATTTTGTGCAGCTATAGTTGGAAACAATTATATTTTGAGCTTTTAAAATTCCCTGTTTGGTCATTACCTTCTGCAAGGTTTTCCCCCCATTAATCGAGCTGTTTTATCCATTTGCAGGATCATTTGACCCAACTGCTGCTTTCCCCCATTTGTATTGGTTTTCCCCATCTTTGTTTTAGTGCCGGCCACTTGCTTGGCTTTTTTGCCTCCCAGCCATTCCCCTGACGTTTGCCAGCTTGCATTTCCAGTCAGAGTTTTACCTCTTAGTCTAGTTCAGCCACCATTCAGGCTGTAAGATTCCAGTGTTCATGTACATCCTTCTGCCTATTTATGGAGTCCCACCAGCACCACTGCCACCCTGCAGTCTATGTGTGTCTGCAGTTGATGCTGTCGATCAGTGTTCTTTCCCTCATCCCACACCAAATTCACTGTGAATGCTGGTAGAAGGAGAGATGGAAAAGCATGCTCAGAAGCCAGTAAAAATTATTTCTTTATTTGAAATAAATTGCAAAGATGTGAGCTTGGTGTCTGTATTTCAAAGCTGGTACGTACACCACCAGTGAGCACAACATGCATCCTGACTATTTAAGACAAGTAGCATCACAGCTCCCAGAATACATGTAAGTCACAAGGGTATGGGGTCTGTGATCTTCCAGTGACAATGTCTCTTGTTCAGCCATCCATGTATGCTGCCTGAGGGTAAGCATGTACTGTATCATTGTGGAAAGGAAATGCACAATTAATACAGGTTTCTCAACATGGCTTTTGCTATCGATAGATGAGAGCAGAAAACCTTGTGAAGTCCTTTGATTTTCACAAGAGCTATAGTTTCACCAAGTGCTATGGACTGTTGCTAATATGTTCTTTTGAAAATGTAGAGGGCTGTTAAATTCACATCTCTTGAGAGTTCAATACTGATACCTGTTAGCAGTGTTTTACCTTTGAAATTTTAGCTATTTTGAAATTGGAGAACTTTTTTGCTCCACTGAGTTGGGGCCTCAGAGTGAAGATTTTCAGGACAAGGCAAATTAAATCTACACCTCTTCTGGATTTTCTGTTGGGCCGTCAAAGTGTTTTTTCCTTTCTTGGTTCCCAAATAAAAGAAAGCCTCAATTAACTAAGGTCATTCAAACCTTTGGAATAAATCAGAATGCTGTTTTCCTTGAGAATAGTTCAGTATTTGTATTAAAACTGTTGGCCTGGGAAAACAAGATGAAACTGAAATTATTTCCAAGCCTAGGTGAAGTTGGGAAAATCCAGTTTCATGGGAGGCATTGGTTTGATTGGAATATTACACTTCATGGTTATCAGGCTACTGTTCTTACAGGCAGTCAAATCAGCTTCGTATATATTCAGACAATTGGACATTGGATGAGTAAATAGATTTTATTTAATATGGAACCACCTGTTGAATAACTTGACACTAATAGTCATAAGAGCGGCTGGTTGCAATGATCTATAGGGTCTCTTCCAGCTCTGCAGTTCAAAAGGGGGAGGATTTCTATGACATACCATTTTTTTTCCTCCAACCTATGTTTGAGCTCATGGGTGGGTTTGAACATGCTTATTAGTGATGTCATGAGAAAGGCCAGATTATGCATAAACTTTTTAAACTTGCTTATGGTTGCAGAGAAAATGTGAAAGGTCATAGAAACTCTCCCCTTATAAGATGTATTTAATGCTGATGAGAGCCTCTCAGTTGGCATCTTGAAATAATCCAAGGTACATCTGCACAACGGGGCAAAGGGAGAGAAGCATAATTAGTAGCACGATTTAAGTATATTGCCCTAGAGAAACAAAGGAGCACATCAGATGAGTACCATGCTGCTAGTGTCTTTCACAGGGTTTAGTAGTAAAGGTGTTGGACTGGGAGATCCAGCTCAATTGTAACAGGGGGAGGTGTTCATTTCATTCAGACTTTACACATCCTGATTGCCAGGCTATTGCAAGATGGTTCTATAGGACATACAAGTACCTCTCCCTCTGACTTTTGTAAATGTTTGGCCTCCAAGTATTGTGGGACCATAACTCTCATCATGTCTGATCCTTTGCTATTAGTAGATAGGGTTCATGGGAGTTGCAGTCCAAATGAAATGGGAGGATTACACATTCCCCATCTCCCCTTTACAACTTAGTATTAACTTCCCCTTACTATAGTTTGCTATTATTGTAGTAGTTTCAATTTACAGTGGTGCCTCGCATAGCGAGGTTAATCCGTACCGGATTAACCCTTGCTATGTGAAAACATCGCTAAACGGAATGTACAAACCCAATGGGCCCTAAACTTACCCTTCAGCGAAGTTTCCCCCATAGCGGCAGCCATTTTCACACCCTCAGTAAGCGAGGGGAGGGCGCGAAAACGCTGCGTGCTGCCATTTCGGGGCTTCCGGTGGCCATTTTGTAACCGCCGAACAGCTGATCCACGGCATCGAAAAGCGAAGATCAGTAAGCGAAACGCTTACCGATCGTCGCTATGCGAGTTTTTGCCATAGGGACCGACGCTATGCCTCCGCATTAGCAATCCCGAAAAAGGGATCGCTATGCGGATTCGTTGTTATACGGTGTGCTCGTTAAGCGAGGCACCACTGTATATACTACCCCATAGAGCTTGGAGCACTTTCTGGCTGGTTCACAACATAGTTATGCAGGCAGTGAGCTGGATATTCAGTTTACCCACCTGTCAGGAAATTACAAGGTTTGTAATAGAAGAAATTGACATCTTAGATTGAATGTATAAAGGAAGTTATCAGACATATTGTACAGCTGTGTATAAAGCTGAGTCATGCTGACTAGACAGGAGGCTGATGTAATTCTTATGAGATCACCTAAGATGAGGTAATATTAGCTGATTGGTTATATGTACAGAGGTACACACATGTGTGGAGAATTTGGAGATTTGCTAGAGGACATACTGTTTTGTGGAAATCTGTACATATGTAATAAAAGCTTTAAGGAAGACGCTGTTGTCTTGTGTTTTTCTTCTCTGCGAGGACCTTGGAGGCTGGTTGTAACCCTGCTTTGCTCAGCGCACCTGAAAATAAATACTTGACACCACCTCAGAAGGATAGTAACCTTGAGCCATCTATATGAACCCATTGGGATTGAACTCAGGTTGGGAGCAGAGGTTTGACTAGAGCAGTGATGGTGAACCTTTTTGAGCCCGAGTGCCCAAACTGCAACACAAAATCAACTTATTTATTTCAAAGTGCCAGTACTGCAATTAAAACCAGAATGCTGAGGTTTTAGTTTAGAAAAAAAACGACTCCTGCACTGCAAGGGTTAAATACTTGGTTTCCTTCCCCCCCCCCCATGGGCAGTATTAACAAATAAATATTTACTGGTCCTTCAATCCCCCATTGGGCTAGACTGGTAATAGTCACCAGTGCACCCCTCTGCTGGACCACTGCACCAGCAGAGGGGAGTGCCGAAATCCGGGATTGGAGGACAGGTAAGTATTTCTCTATGGCGATTTATGGCTCGTGTGCCCACAGAGAGGGCTCTGTGTGTCAGCTGTGGCACGCGTGTCATAGGTTCGCCATCACTGGACTAGAGTATTACAGATTAACCACTGCACCTTTTACATGTCAAAGTACAATCAGTTGTATCAATCAATCAGCTACTGACATTTGCATACAATAATCAACCACGCATTTAATCCCAGTTGTTTTAGAAAAAAAACTAACTCTATTCCGGGTAGGTGGGTAAACACACAGACATGAATATCTGAAAATAATAATAAGCTTAGATATGCAGAACTGGAAGGGATCCTATGGACCGTTGCATCCAGCCCCTGTCAAGAAGGCAGGGGCTGTGGAACCTCTGGTTTGTGCCCCAATTTTATTTTCTGGTTTGAGAGCAAACAACCAGTGTGATACAGTGGTAATTGCTGAGCTATAAAATGTAATAAATAGTCAAAAACTTGATCATCAACTTTGCTGCTGAAGACAGTAACATATCGCTGACAAGGAAGAGGGGTCGGCAGAAGCAAAATGCAAGAAATGAGCTTGTGGTGATTGGCAATCAGGAAGCATTAGGCCCGAATTGGGTCACTGCCCTCTATGCAAATAGGCTTTTCCTTTGCTTGGAAGTGTTTCCTGTTTAGATGCTTCTCTTCTTTGGCGACGGGGAGGAGGAACCTCTTTCATTCTGCATAGAAGAATATTATTTCTGCATTTGTATGCTGTTCCCATGGAAATATGTTTTTCCTTAACTGTGCACGACACGGGTGGTATGCTTAATAGCGTTCTTAAAGCTAAAAACGAGAGAGATTATTTTTCATGCCACTCAGTTGATCAGAACTGAGATACTCAAAACGCCCACAATGAATAATGCACAGGCGGGCCGTGTGTGAAGCTGCACCTTCCACTCTGTTTCACTTTGGAGCCCTTACCTGGGGAAATGTTGCTGGATTCAATGTACAGATTTGAAATGTGACCAAAATCTCTTCCTATTTCTGGAAGCCTTTTTTTTTCAGCTGGAACCCTTGTGGTCTTGTGTTCCAAGGAAGCTAACTTGTGAACAGTACGCTATTAGAAATGTGAATTGCAGGGTTGCTTTGGAATTCATAATTAGACTCTCCCTTGTGCAGTCTTGCAAATGTCACCTTTCCTTTTTGCATTCATTTGCAATGTGCCAAAGAGAGCTACTGTGGGTAGAACTTAATACTGAGTGATCTGCATGGAAAATGGAGGTTGGCCGAATTTCATTTCTGTACCCCAAGCTCCAGGTTGGGAACAAGCATGCAAACCCACATTTGGCGTATGTATGTCCCAGGGGCAGCAAGGCTTAGCCAAAGGAGGGCAATTTGTTTAGTGCCTGTGG